AAATTCCTGAGCTTTGATAACAGGTGGAGCAGTGACATAAGTGTCCACTGGCAGAGCATGATGTGTTACCGTTGGAGCTTTTGGAGGTGCAAATGTGTACACAAGAGGAGTATCTTAAGTTAAATGAGTGAGTGAAGCACTTTGAGTTTGTTGAAAGGTGGTAAAATGATCTCCTTGATTGAGCTCACTTGAAGTTGAAAACGAAGTTTGCAAAGTCCCTTTTTGGCGAGCATCAGGTGGTAAGTTCTGAGAAGCAGCTTGGTATTGTGTTATCAGTTCACCAATTCGTTGCTCTAGACGAGCGATGACTTCCATGGGTGATTCTGTTGCTATCGAGGCACTAGGATTGGCCGCGACAGATGAAATGAGGATCATTTCGGACGAAACAATCGTGTTGATAGTGGAATCCATTTTAGACCGAGTCCTCTTAGTAATCCAAGTAAGAAATGAAGAATCTGCAGAAATTTCCTTGACCTTAGACCGTGTAAAATGTTAATGTTCTGCCAACGGGTACTTTGGTGAAGTGAGCAAGTTTGATTACCAACACAAATCAGTATCTTCTTCTAAAAACAACTCAAAAAATAAGAGAGTTAGTCCATTAATCATAATAATCAACCAAAGTAACATATAAAACAAATAACATTTGTTTTGCTTAAAACAAATTAGTCCAAAATTCAAAGAACAAAAGACTCTAAAAGGGTGACAAAATGGGAAAACTTTGATCGTTCTATGAACTAAAATTTTAACGAAAGAAAGGACTTTGAACAAAGCAAACTATATGATTTGAGTATAGATTCAAATGTACCTTTTGGAAGGTTCAATTGAAAACCCCTTCCGAGAAATAAGGACTTAAGATTTAAAACTAACGGAATATTTAGTAACACCGGCTAGGTAGGTGTGAAAAATAAATTTCAAGAAACAACGAGGTCAACATGAATTTGAATGATGACCTAATAATTTTTTAAAGCACTATTGAACTTAGAATTTGAGTGATTTTGAACGTATTTTGATAATAAAGTCAAGAGTATTTCAAAAAGCTTGAAAATTGAGTATATATGTTAAAAGATGTTCTAAGACTTTGGAATGAAATAATAGACCAATTATGTTTAAAGCAAAACATATGTATAGAACACATAAGTCAAGCAAGCACAAACGAAACAAAATTTGAAATATTTAACACACAAACAATATATAACACCTCCTAACATGCATTTGATCTTTTTGAGCCAAAGGTAGGCCTAACGATTGAAGGATGTGTATATCGTTTGTACAACGTTCCATTGCCCCCAAAAAAAATTTATACAAACCTTATGAATAAAACAAATGGGGATACATAATAGAGGAAAGGGAAATAATTAACAGTCCCACGCAGGGGTACAAGGTAAACTAATCTAAGTTTCCACATAAAATCTTCATTCCCAAACTTCTTGATGCTTTTGAATTTCTTCTGGATGAGGAGAATCTTCCTTTGTCTTAAACAAAGAAACTACCTATAAAATAAAACTCTATCCCCAAGGGATAATGGTACGCACAAATCGACATACATATCCTTTAAATTTAACAAGTAGTTGAATGATCGTCTTATATTGACCGGGGTCAATTAGACATAAGGTGGTCTTCTAATGGTCCCAACACGCGTTGGATGTTAGGTCAACTTAGTTCAAAATGCGCTAAATTTGGGATTTGGTTTCGCTCTACGCTAGTTGACTAAGAGTGGCTTTTGAAAGACCGGGAACCCAAGCGGACAACTTAGGCTGGAACTCACAACAACCATTGGACGCATGACATACCAATAAATTGTTGATCCTTTCGAAAAAGGGTTGAGTATAAAAGGTGCAACTGCGATTATGCAGAAACCGTTATTTAATATACTATACAAATATCAGAAAAATGCCATGAATGCAATATGACAGTTAATATTCAAAATTTAAACACATTATTGCATAAGGTAACAATTAATACAATAATAGTTAGCCAAACAATAAAATCCTTTTGGTTAGAACCTAGATGAATCCCCCAGTGAAGTCGTCATTCTGTTACGACCTGATTTCGAAAACTAAGGGTTTCGAAACCATTTTCGCAACTTTGGCAATTTTGTTAACTTTTTGGAAAAATTTATAATTGGGAAGTCGCCACTTAATTTTTTAGGAAAAATTAAGAAAACCATTTAAAAAGGGAATATTTGAGAGGAAACAATTTAAATAACCAGAGTCGGGTAAGGGTTCAAATAATTCTCTAAGGAAGGGTTTAAGCATCTTAAAGAATCCGCTAACATGCGGTTGACCGGCGGATTAAAAAGCTTGGCTAAATTTTTTTTAAAAAGAGAATTTATATTACTTTAAAATCTTGTTGAAAACTTAGATAAAAATCTATTGATACTTATAAAATTCTCAAGAATAAGCCTAACTTGAAACTTTTATCCATAGTCAAGTTTTGAATCATAAAACTAATTCAAGCTCATAAACATGGAGTAAAGAACCTTGTTTAACGACTATGAAAGGATATAAAAAATCTTCAAGTCATTCATACAAAGTCCTAAGTTAAATTAAAAGACAACTAATTTATTTTAAGAAACTTAACAATTTTATCCTATTCAAAAATTTGAACTAAATAGTTAGTTCAAACTCATAAACATAGATTCAAAGCTAATTACTAACTATGAAAGAATATGAATAATTCTCAAGTTAGTCTAAGAGCTTAAGTTGCCTAACTTGAAAAAGTTTTGAAAATTTAAATACTTAAAGTAAACAACTAACAAAATAGAAGAGTTATTTAAAAACTTCCAAGGATTCATCTAAGTTAGATAAAATAAATGTTAGAAGTTAAAAGCAAATATCACAAAATCACAATATAAGGAAATAAAAATGCGAATAGAAATTTGACAACTTTGAGTTCACTAGCGGCTTGTTATTTGCTGCTTATGGCGCTATTTTAAGATTTTTTAAGTCCAAAAAAAAGTCATTATCAGCCCTTCGAAACTGCTGCAATTCTGCCTTATTTCAGCTGTTCAAATTTCGGCCAATTTGAACGGTAAAACACTTTCATTTCAGCTTTTTTGAGCTGTTGTTGCTGCTGGTTTTTGGGTTCTAACCCAATAGAATATTATTTACTCTTTCGCGACTTCATGGGGTTGACCCGAAGAGGATCAAATGCAAGAGAATGGGAGTGCAAATCGGACTGGTTCTGGGCAGCGACTGGAACTCGAGCTTTGGAGGCAATGAACTTTACCACCAAAATGTGACTGGGACAGTCGAAAGCAAATAAAATCTTAAACTACGAACTACGAGCTCCCAAAACCTTTTCGGGGGTGCTCTCAATTCTTTAGCTCTCAAAAAACCGTCCCTTACGAACAGTAAAGAGAAGCCTATTTATAAAGGGAAAAAGGGGAAGTAAAAAGGGTCTGGATCGATGTGGGAGAATCCAAAATTCAAAAATTCTCAAAGGATAAGGTTTGGACAGCTACTATCGTACTATTTTCAACAGATTGAGGACGAGAGCCCTCTGATTTAGGGCAAGAAAGATGAGGCATCAAGATTGAGATACATGGCCTTGTTCTCGAACGTTTCTCGTACGAGAAGATAAGGGAGAGAGGAGAGTGCCACGCGCGATTGCCGGACTGGGCTCGATATTGTTACTGGACTCGCGATTCTGGACTGGATTCAGTCGCGATTTTTGGGTCGTTTGAAGAAGAAGATGTGTGGGGTCGCGTCGTATTGGTATCGTTGTAATGTATGTTTGTATTGTACGCATACGTGTATTGTTGGGTCTGTTTGGGGGTTATTTGGAATGGTTGTGGGCTGGGCTGCTTGAAAATGTTGCTAATGGGCCAAGGAATTGGATAGATTCTGGCCCAAAGGTTCAAGAAAAAAGTGGTTAGATTCACAATTAAGAAATAGCCAAATGAATTACCAATTTAACCAAACAAAATTAAGAAGCTAACCAAATTGAGTTACTTAACAAATTTGGCTAAAGCCTAAATAAGATGAATCAATATTAATTAATTAACGAGTTTCTTAATTTCAATGAAATAAAATAATTAACTTAATTGTAAATTAATGATTCAAAATTATAACCATAATTTAAATTAAACTAATTTAATAAACTACTTACTAAAATTAAAATCTTTTTGAGATGATTTCGAAATGTTTATAAAATATACTAATTATATACAAAACTATATAAAACATATATATTACTTAAAAATCATTAAAAATGGTAGATTTAATTAAAAGTAATTAGAAAAATATTTTGAGCTTTATAAAAACTAATTATTTCAAATCATGTGGAATTTAAGAAGCTCGGTGATTAATCTATATCGTGGAGGTCCAAAATTGGATGTCAACAATAATCAAAATCATAATTAAATCACCCAGTTGTTACCAGATTTCCCTAGACTTTACTGACTCCGATTTCATCCAAATCTAAACTAGATTAGGAAATTTCAAGTTACTACCAAAAAAATTTCTGACCCCAATTCTTTCCCCCATTGACTTTTCTATAACGACGGGAACAAATCATTATAGGCAGAGATAAATATGACTTAAGTAATGTTAACAATGAAGGTATACATACCCTGCAAATTTTCTATAACGGATTAATATAAAAAGAACCTTTTTTCTTCTTCTTTCTTTTTCTCCAAATCAAATTTAAAAAATGAATTCGTTTTACATTAGTGATTAATTAAACATGACCATAACATTATTTTGGTGGTATACACTTAATTAATTTTTTATTAGAAAACTAATACCATTTGCAGGTGAGAATGTTTTTCAATATATATGTCATGCACTTTTATTTTTAGGCTGTTAAAAAAAGAGAATGATACTTTTTGTTTTATATATAAAAATGATTTAGCTTTAAACTTTATTTTTTCATGAGATGATCTAAATATAATCACACGAATATTCCTATTACTTATTTTAGATCATAATTTTTAAAAATATTTATTCCTTTGATCAAAGTACATCAGATAAGTTGTGACGGCGAGAGTACAAATTAAATGAGCACAAACAACGTAATATACGTACAGTAGGGTTTGGATTCAAATTAATGATCACTTAATTGTACAAAAGAGTTTATAGTAATCATCTTACAAGAACTAATTTAGGATTCACAAACAACTGAGAAATATAAGGGAAAAAACAGTAGAATACTTAATTACTAAAAAGTAATTTAAAGAAAAGGCCTATGATTGAACATGACTGCTAATTAATTAATTAGCAGAAAAAAAGGAAATCAAGGCACTTATATATATATGAAATAAAAAACCAAATGGTGACTTGATAAATATGAGACATAATTCTTCCAGAGCTATATATATATAGCAAATCCCTTTAAGTGTTCAGCAATAACCTGCTCATGAAGACACAATTCATCACTTTTCTGCAAAAGAAAAAACAAGAAAAAGAATAATGTATACATGTATTCATTGTTAGATATATTTTATTTCTAGTGAAATTAATCAGAATATATATTAGAGCATGAACGTCTATCTAAGTCTATACTTTATAAGAGTTAATTCAGTTACATATACATCTTTTGAATCGAGCTAGGGTCTATTGTAAACGGTCTTTATACCTCATAGGTTTGTGTATCGTCTACTATCTTCCATAGATCCTGCTTATAAGAATACACTGAATATGTCATTATACTAGTCATGATAGAAAATGTTCTATATTGTCGGATCTTCTATAGGATATTTTACTAACAATGTACATATAACTTAAACTTCATCAGAAGTCGAGTTTAAGATTTACACACCATAAGTATAAAAAGTGTAAGTTACATAAATGAATACTGTCAATATAAAGAATTTTTACACTATGGGGTTACCTATTAGAGCAGATAATCAGTATTATTTTTAAAAATTACAAATTTCACTAGAGATCATGTTAATTTCTTTGATGTATATATCTAAAACTCTTTGTAAAGAAAGCATAAGTTGAAGCAAAGGGATGGAAAAGAATCGGAATACTAGACTTAGGGTGTCATGAATCAAGTCTATGATGCATATTATTATTTGGGTCTAGGTCCATACAAACTTGTCTTTTGGGCTACGCTAACCTTGAAAGTGTGTATCATGTAAATTTGAACTACGCCTTATAAAACTCTACATTTTCCTCCTCTCATATTTCAATGTAGTATTAACTTAAGTTGTCATGTGCACCTAATAGTTACTAATTTGTCAACCTAAAAATCTCGTAATCCTGCTTGACCCGCCCTCTGTCTAGAGTCACATACACCTCTCCTTAGAGACTCAAGGTCCTTGCAAAAATTTGTTCCACCATTGTATTAAGGGAGTACATGCTCTGATACCAAATTTATTATGACCCAAATTCATGGCATGTATTGTTTGAGTGATTAAAGAAAAGAAGCTAGCAAGAGGATGTTAATTAATGATAGAGAGATTGGTCATATATTGATACATCGCAAAGGATCAAATCCAGAAATTCCAGATTCCCAAGTGAGATAATTTGGACCTAGGCCCTTATTAATTTATTTTTAGGGATACATTACATCGAGCCCTAAAAATATTTGTATAGCATGTGAACTTAAACTATATCTTATATATTAAGTTCTTTCCTTTCCTCTCTCATTCCAATGTAGAATATATTCAACTAAGGAATTATATGCACCTCATCTTCAGAAGCTTGTCAGCCTAGAAATGTGTCAGTCCTGCTTAATCCGCTATCCGACAGAGGCATCACAGAGGGATAGAAGCAATATAAGGGTGAATTGTTAGGTTTCTTACCATTAGATAACTTTAGTATCAAATAATGTTCTAACCTTTTCAATCATCTTTAGCTAATAACTTGAGAATTCTACCAATATATTGCCATTTATATATGTTAAAGCCTACTTGACATGATATAATTAAATTCATCTTGTTTTTACACTAAAAGTTTTCATTTGCTTGGCCATTTTACTTGCTATAGTCTAGAAGAAAAGCTAGGAAGCCATGAGCTTAAAACCGTGGACGCTAACATAACACATATATCCACACTAGAAACATATACTCGTAACAAATAGTCATTCATATCTTTAAAACTAGAAGCAAACACATAAAATCAACATTTTATTTTTTTTTGGTTCAACATAAAATTAACATTGATACTATAATCAAGTAGATAAAAAATATGTTTTTTTGAACAAATTAATATATATAAGTTGAATGATATGAACATTTAAATGAAGCAAATAGAAGACAAAAATGCTGCTAGAAACCAACAACTTCGATAATGGAGGAAATAGGAATATGTCATACAGACTATAGTACATAATTATTTGTTTTTATGAAAAATATATAGAGAGCATTCTGACAAATAAAGAATAAGTGTGATGCCCCCACAAAGATCTAATACAGACAGTAAGCAATCTTGTAAAGATACAAAGGACGAATAAACAACAATATTGAACATTCAAATATCAAAATTACCCTTGCAATAATAAGGTGATTTATATAGATAGAAGTGGAATCGCGATAACGTTACCTAATTTGCGTTATGGATTCATAGTTCAATATTTTCAATAATTCTAATACATTTTATATGGATAAATTTAGATTTAGACTAGAAGTTATGGATTCAAACGAACACATATCTATACTACTGGACTAGATCCGTTCCCTATATCTATCAATGCGCACTAATAGGAAATTTAATATTTTAGTGTTACCGTGAAATTGAAGAAATATCAATATATACTATATATTATTATTTCTCGTACATAAGAAAGATTTGCAATTATGATTCTGTTGATTTAAAAATCCATTATAAAACGCACTTTTTTCATAAATTATTAAAAAAAATAAAGAGAGGGAGCATTGCATGGTGGAGTAAATTACTATAGAATGATTGATTCAGGTGGAATAGGACATAAATTTTATTATTAAAAAATGTCAATTCTAAGATGCTTGTTATATTAAAAATGTAAAAAGCCTATGTTACCTCAAATGACTATGGGCCCGTTTGGTCATTGATTTCCCAAGTAATATTTGGGGAGAAATTTGGCAAATAATGTTTGTCCATATAATTTGTCATTATTAGGCAAATTCTTTTTGGCAAATATCTCAAACACTAGTTTTTTCTAGTATTTGGACCAAATCTCATTATTTGGGATCTTTTAAAAATTAAAATTTTACACCAAACTTTTATATTTTACAAAAACACCCTCTATAGTAGTTATTTGCGTTGTATTACATAATTTTTTACGTGAACACCAAAGTAGTTATGAAATATGAAAGTGATGATATGGTTGTTGATGAAAATGATGAACAATTGACCCAGGGTAACAAAGTCATGTGCTTTGTCTACTTCACGATGTATGGAATGATGCTTGTTGCACTCACTCCAAACAACCACATTGCTCCAACGTCATGGACACTAGTTATTTGTTGCAACGAAGATCCATTGACTTCTAATACAAACTTATGGTTAATTTTGATAGTTTTTAAAACTTATGGGTATAAATCACATTTTTCTTAAAAAGTCAAATATGTTTCCCAAATACTATGGTCAAACACATGGTGAAATTTCACTCAAATTTTCACCCAAATATGATTCAAAAATATTTAAAAATCTATGGCCAAACGCTAGCTATATGAGGGGTGCACAAAATCCTAGAATCCCAAAAGAATATAAACAAAAAATTTAAGGCTGACATATTATAAATCAGGAATAGTTGCCAAATACTTGAATGAAGACTTATTAGTTTTCATGAAGGTATAATGCATGTGGTTTAAGTATTTGGTGAATGTTATGGGAATATATTTCTATGTGTGGGATTCAGGGAAGGGTTGGACCAATTAGGGTCTATTGTTTGTAGCCTTCCCCTAAGTACATTTTTGTAAGAGACTATTCTACAGTTCGAATCTGTGATATCCAAAATCACATAACAATAACTTGACCAGTTCTACAAAGTACTTTTAACATTGTGGCATTAATCAAGACTTTTAGGTAAGGAAAATGATCATAATTTTGCATATTCATCCATCACTTCTAGGGTTTGAGATGAATGATATTGGTTAGCTAAATATTTTCGTACTTTAATTCCCCGATCGATGATTGATTGAAATTCAGGAGCTAAGATTTAAGAGAACGCAATTTGCTTCTTTCTCCCAGTACGGTCTAAAAGTTCAAACAAGTTGATTTCTCAGATGATTATTATTCAACTAATAGTTATTTTCTCAGAAAGTCTGTTTTATTGAAGAAAATTGACTTTCAGAGATAATAACTAACTATTAGTCGAGTGAGCATATAAGAAATCAACCCAAGTTAAACTGTTTAAGTTCCCAATTAGATCGCTGAAATCTAGTGTTCAACATAAAGTTAAAGTTCATCTTTAATGAATTATATAAAGATAGAATTATGATATTGTTTCATGATTCATCTATCATATACTAGTAGTTATATTAATCTAGAATATCCAACTAGCTTTGTTTTGCTATATTTTTCAAGTTTGGATCTATATGTAAAGATGCCTCTTTATCCCACTATATTTGGTCTCTAGAGGTAATTATATTAGCCTAATCATATAACTTTGCATATATTTTGTTATATGGTTTAATAAATACCCTTTTCCAGATATTAACTAAACAATCAAATACTAAAGAAAAGCTAGAAATTTACCATTTTTTGGATCAAGAAAATGGGTGAGAAGAAGTGCAATCATCATCTCCTTTGCTCTCACTTGCCTTCTTCTTTTTCTTTTTGTACGGAATTCCTCTTGCTTTTGCTTGACACTCTTTCACTTCCCTTAGATACACCCTAATCGCGCCGCTCGCGAAAGGGTTCGTCTCGGGGGAGCCACCGTTTTCCTCATAGGCGGCTCTGAGCCGCCCGATCAAAGCATCCAGGCTCCCCCAGGCTTGTCTTAATGGACATGTACATGGAGCCGGAGGCTCGGGTTGACCATAAAAGATACAACCTTGCAAGTGAACCTTAGTCTTCCCAAACTGGTCAAGGTACCTAAGGAACTCCAACACGTGGTTGCTATTGCATTGGGACATGGAAACGGGTGGTCTTTGATTCCTTAGGTACTGACCAAACGTGTTCCAATCACGACGTTTCTGAGACTCATATCGACTAGGCGTAGCAGGTTGATCGCCCGGCGATCTTGATGATCCCTCAACCAATTCTTTGCCTCTATCAAAATTTGACATTTTTTTTTTCAAGTGGAATTCTTGAAATGGATTGTGATTGATCGATTTTTGTAGCCAAAAATGAGGCAACTATTGAAAAGATTATACAAAGGTTAAAAGAATAGAAGAAAATGTATTGTAAGATAAAATCACATCAAAGGACCTATTGATTTGACAAGAAATGGGCCACATGAAAGTTGCTTTATGTGCTTCTCTTTTCTTCGTACGTATGTTTAATTTTTTGAACCAAACAATTTCGTTTTCATTACCATTAACTATACATTATTTTCTTACTAAGATACATTTTTGTCAACATTATCCCGGCCCCCACAATCTTTCAAAATATAATCTCCATTATAATCTTCATTAAAAGGACAGTGACTCACTAATCACATTTTTCTAGCTGTATAATTAGCATATTCTAGTAATTAACCTTGAAAAGTAATATACATACATGTGTATCACAATTTAACTATTTAAGTGGTCAAATGTTTTTGAACTTTAAGTTTATAATTATTTGACGAATTAGGAAAACAATTTTTAAAATGAATACACACGAGAAGACTGTGTGAAGAGATAACTATTTGTAATTGATAAATAATTTTTTGCAGGTGAAAAATGCACATAAAAAGTCTAAACAATATGTTAAATTTGAATCATCGATAAGCAAGTGAAGTCAAACTTCACGATAGATAGCAAGAAGAGAAAGAAATTACGACTTCACCAACCACTTTGGCCTAATCGTTTATTGGTTAGAGAGAGCGCACTTTTTAATTTGGGTGGTTGTGAGATTCGATCTCAAGATCTCTGCCTGCTTTGATATCAAGTGTGTGACCATTCATAAGAAAGAAGAGGAAATCTAATTATGTATGATGAGCTTGAGTCGAGTCACAAAAAGGGCTATGATGAGCCTTATTAGAGTGACTTTCCCGGTTATGATGAGCTTTTTTCTCCTATTTCCAAGATCGAATTCCAGTTTTTTCTTATCGAGTGTCTTATTATTTTGCCTTTTTTCTAGCTTCTTGCTTGCTACCTTCTACTCTCTCTGTTTTCTACTGGGCTGAGCGTTCCACTGGCCCCTGACAGGATAGGTGAGGAATCACTCTGGATCTTCTTTTTTTGGGCTACAACTTCACCGAGCCGACTAGCATCCCTTTCCACTGTGCATTTTTCGAACAAAGAAGACGACTATAGGATCGAATTCGCTCTTCAAGAAACTGCTCGTCCCATACCTTCTGCCTGTCTCATATGTGTGGAACCTGGTCTTTTTCGGTTCCATCCTCTCCCTCGAATACATAGGGTAGGTAGGGCTGGGTGAGAAATTCATCTAAAAGTTTAAGTTATTAGAGAGAGTATACTTTTTATTAGTTAATGATATTCTCAACAATTTTAGCATTTGACGAAATTCGTGGCTAGTCATTCACCAAGGTCATTACCAATAACAAAAATAGAGTAAAACAACTCAAAATTTCAGTAGCTAATCCAAAATCACCTAATCAATTGGCATGCATAGTTTTTATAGGTTTATCGATCAATATGTACTGCCAAGCCATCAATCATATACATTCTAGCATAGTCTTTCCCGCAAGAACATCACTACATAAAAAATTATTTTTAGTGGCAATTAACTACAATAACTTAATTGCCGATAAATATGTATTTTTAGCGGCAATTAACACTCTTTGTATATGTCCCTAAAGTCTTTAGCGAGATTGGATCTAATGACACTTAACTAATGTACGTAAAGACTTTATTTATTGTCACTAAAAATTATTTTTGATGTAGTGCATTCACAACTAGGGCACTTGACAAGATCATGTGTATGATATTGATTTGTTAGAGAGCGTTTAATTCTCATTGTGAGAATTCCTGCTGGATTTGAATTAAATTGAACCTCATATATTTGAATTCCTGCTGGATTTGAATTAAATCGAATCTCAATATAAATATATGAGGGAAGACCCCAAAAAGATAAACAATAACAATTATTGGTGTCAGACTATACTGTGAAATATTCTTTAACATGATCTTTATTTTGACTAGCTATAGGTTAGTGGAAAGTTGGATATGGTATGAATAATCAGATGATGAAGCTAGAAGTATAAAAAAAAAAAATTGGCTGTCACTTTCATGATATATAAGTGGAATATTGTAAATAGTATATACTATACATTAGGGCCTATATATAAGACTTTGTTCCATAATTTGTGATGAGTAAGGTAGACTTTAAGACTCTTTCTCCAGAATTGAAGGTCCAATATGTCAGGTTTATTGGAAACAAGATTTTTATGTTTACATGTTTTATATTTCATATATTACTGGACTTGCTAAGTTGGTCTCAGCCGCCAGGATCATTTAATTTACTAATCGATAAAGGTTTAAATTTACTTCTGAACTATAGTATTAGGTAAAATCGATCTTGTCTAATTTAACGAATAATATGTATAACCGTTGGTTAAGTGGTGGTCAAATTCTCTTCTTTTCTTTTGCCTTCCGTTAATAATTGCGGTAAAATTGGCCTACTTTATCCTTTTACTAGTAAGAAAATATAACTAGCATCACAAATTACCCGATTTTAATCAAAAAAGGATATAAATGTCACTTCACATAGTTCATGAATATATTTGAACCTTTTTGCATAGAAAAATAAAAGATTGGAGAAAATACATTAACTTCAAACTTATCTTTAACAACAATATCATATATCGTGTAATTCTATCAGTAGGATGATACGAGAAAGTAGGGCATATACATAGCCTTACCTCTACCTTTATATGGTATAAATATTATTTCAGATAGATTTTTTACTCGAAAGAAATGTTATTGAAGCAAGATTCCAACTAATCTTTTTTTTAATATAAATGTAAATTTATATAGACAAAAATATCACTATTTCTCACTGTCTCAGGTAGATATAAAGATGATAAATTACTGTTTCTAAAGCTGCTCATAGATATAACTTTTTTTCCTGATAATAATAAAGTCACGAAGATCTTTGATAAAGTGTCTGCTTATTTATTGGCTTTCTATGAAATATAAATATTCTAGCAAAAATTTAAGTAATATCTTTTGAGATTTTAAATTAATCTTCTTGTAACATTAAGGAATAAGAAATTAATCCTTTGGATAAATTTTGCTTATAATAGTCAAAATAATATTTAAAAAATAGATGCTATCATAGATATATAACAACTAATTACTATAAAAATCAAATAAATATAAGAACAAACGAAATTATTAAGAGGTCTGACTCTAATTCCGTTTAAAATTAAATAAAATGTATAATAGCTTTGGTAACTATGTGATTAGGAAATATGGGACCATCTCCAACCCACCTCTATTTTACTCTCCATTCTCTATATTTGGAGGGTAAAATAGAGAATGGGCACTCCAACCCATCTTTATTTTTGACTCTATTCTTCATTCTTAGAAAGTTGAATAGTAGTTCTCCAAATTTGAAGAACTACTATTTACACTCTCTATTTCACTTTTTTAATATTTTATTATTATTTCTATTGTTTTCTAATTAACATATTATTTTACATATAATGTCATTAATTAAATATCTAATATTCATAATTCTTTTTAAATGTAATATAATATTTTAAAAAAATATTATTTAATATATACTACTTTATCCCGAATTAAAATATTTTATTTTATTTCTAAGTTTCGTCAATAATATAATTTTATTTTATTATTAATTTTCACTATAAAGAATGCACAAAACTAAAATGATAAGATGAAAATTTTAATTTAAAAATACAATACATAACTTAATAATTTAAATACAAGATAAAACACAATACAATGCATAACATAATAATTAATTTAGCACAACAATCATTTAGTAATCCGATAGGTCATTTCACAATTTAGCACTATTCGGAAAAAAATTAGGGTATGATGGTAGATGAAAATCTCCGGTTTGTACAATTTTTAGCTAGACATAAAAAAATTAAGGACAAAAATACTCATTTTGAACTACGTAATACATTAATAGAATATTTATGAGAGCAACGTAATAATTTTGAAAGTTGAGTGTTTATGTAATTGTATTTCACTTTTATTTGAATTTATTTATTATTTGTATATTATATAATATTTTCTTGCAATTTATGTTATTTAGAAATTTAAAATAAAATATAATTTTATATTAAATAAAAAAATTGAAAAAATAAAATTTTATATCACATGAAAATTATATAAAGTAATTATTTGGGAAAAAGAAAGAAATGATTTATATTATGAAATAAGAAAATAAGAATGAAATAGAAATAATAATATAATATTGAGGAGAAAGAAAAAAATTCCTTTTTAGAGAGTAAAATAGAGAATTAGATTGGAGTTGATTGTCTGGAGAAATAGAAAACCCTATATTTGAAGAGTAAAATAAAGTTTAAGGTTGGAGATGCCCTGATTAGACTAATCCGCGTGATATTTGAGCCCCACAACTGAAATACAATCAAATTTTCCTAAAACAATATCGTTCGTCCAACTATATTTTGACTACTATAACAAAATGTTATTATAAATAATAAATAATGCACTATATATAACACAAAATCAATTCCAAAGAATACTTGACTATTATTATAAAATATTATTATGAAAAATGAATTATTAATTATAAAGATGTCAAACAATACGACACATGATCAAGACATAAAATATTTTTTATATATTTTCATCCATAATAGTATAGTTAAATGTTACACCATCATATATAAATGTTTACATAAAGTTACTTTTGAGAAATGAAGTACGATAACTAATTTCACATTTTTTGAATCTATATTTATGTTATTGGTGTATATATTTAATTACCTATTCTTTTCTACTAAAAAAATCCTTAAGTTATGTGTTCTTTTATATTTTTTAAATTTTGGGGAAATTCTTTTGAAAATTTATAGCCAAAAGTTTTACATCTAATCAGTACGTACAAATAAGCTTTTGTGAAGAGACAACACGTTATCAACTTTATAAATGCATCAGCTTATATTATAGAGTCCCAAAAATACTTGCCTATCAATTTCAGCAGCGGTGTATGCACTAACTATACTGCGACCGATAAAATTCAACAGTTTTGATTAAAA